ACTGATTTATTTACATCTAGCATGATAAAATTCCTTATTAAAAAAATGCTTTCCAAAAAAGAAGCCAATTCAAAGGACTATCTAAGAACCTTAGAAATATACAATTACACATGCCTCTTAATTTTTCAAATAATTATAACATCCTCTGGGCACTTTCTGTTTTCAGTTTTCTTGAGAAATTCTGAGAATGCAAAGACCTGGTGTTGCCAGGTTTTTTCTTTATATATAGATAGATAGATAGATAGATAGATAGATAGATAGACAGACAGACAGATAAATTTAATGGAAAATAGGGCTTCCCTGGTGGCTCAGAGGCAAAGAATCTGCCTGCCAATGCAGGAGACTTAGGTTTGATCCCTCAGTCTGGAAAATCCCCTGGAGAAGGAAATGGCAACCCACTCTAGTATTCTTGCCTTGGGAATCCCAGGGACAGAAGAGCCTGGAAGGCTATAGGCCATGGGGTTGCAAAGAGTCAGACACAACTGAGCAATGAAAGAACAACAATGGAAAAAATACACTTCCTCTCCCCCTCCCTTTTTTTTTAATTGGGGGCAGTAACACAATGGCATCAGGTATATATTTTTATTTGATCTCAGGTTACACTTAAAGGATCTTATATTACATTGATTAGAATTTTTGTTTATTGTAATTGAGGTGATTGATGATGCTTCTACTAATTCTGAAACAATCCAATGGACATTATCTTCATGTTGCTAAAGATATAATGGCATCTGTTTCCCTAGCTGATTCGATCTGGCTGAGGCGGAAAAATAGCTTAGTTTAATTTTTTTATTTGTGTCCTTATTAAAAAAGAAGAAGAAGAAGAAAATGGTGACTTGAGCCCATCCCCAAAGCTTTAACCAATTGACTATGATTGAATACTTTTTCTTATTACTGCTCGCTGGGATCTTCTTATGAAATGCACACTTCATTTTTATCCAGGACCTGGGGATATGGGGCAACAGAAGAATATTACTTGAAATTCGGCACACTACTGTCTATAGAAAGCTGCACAGCACAATTGTGGAAGAGTTATAATTTTAATTCTTTTTACCACGACAAGATTATTCCAAAGTTAAATTATCATTCTCTCTTAAACCAAACAGCATTGTGGCGGTTTTAGTAGGACAAGGTGGCTTATTGTAATTGGTAGGATCTGTAGATTCCTATGCTGAAATTTAGATCTAAGTATTTCCAAATTAATAGGGTGATTGGAGAGGAGGGATATATTTGCAATCTGTTTGGGCTGAAATGGGTACCTGGTGCCACGAATCTGCAGGCAGCAAGCCATCATTACGTTTATTACCGCCTCCGTGATAGCCAGGTCGAAGCACCTGCTCTTCCTCTGGATTCTTCAGGTAATCCCTATCAATTAATTCTTGAAAAACAGTAATGACCTGACAAAGATGTGAGCTTTTATAATATTGAAGAGGGATGCCTTTGACATTGGGCAGTGGAAATGCTGTACTTGGCAAATCTGAAAGTTTTAAGAACAAGGATGCATAGCTGGAATGAAACAGAAATGAGTTCTGCGACACAACAGAATCTGCTACAATCCTGTTTTTTAGTATGAGTTTCAACTCTGATAGTCTCTGTTTATAGAGTCTGTGTCAATTGTAGGGTTTGATTATATGACTCATTGAGAGATTCTGGGCTTGTGATTTTGTTAGCAGCATCTTTCTCATTTTGCATAAAAAGGAAAAACAAAGCCAAAGAAGTCATTTTCCCCAGATGATATAATGGGGGTATTAAAGTATATAAATAAGTAAGCATTGAGAATACATATATTTAGGACTGGAAAAAAGCACAAAAATTCAGAACTACAGTAGAATCAAAAGTACAAATTTACTTTGTGTGCACTACCTAGCAGCTTATATTTCTAGTATGTGATATGTCTTCTTCCTAATAGAAATTCATGATGAAACAGATCAAACAACTTGGCAAATCTTTCAAAGTGGAAATTGAAAATTTTGTTCATGTTTCTCGCAAGAGCAACAGAGATTTTTTTTTCTACACTTTATACTGTCAGACCAAAAATAATTAAATACATTTAGGTAAGACCAAATTAATCAGATTAGAGCTCTCACCAAGGAAGACCGGAACATGTGTTTCTCTTCTTTGTTTTATGATGCATCGGGAGGAAAGAGCCTGATATTTGAATGTGTGGCCAATATTTAACAATTGAGAGACTTCAAAGAAAAAATATAGATTGTTAAGTTTTTCTTGAAAAGTCAAATCTGGCAACACAGGAGCTTCATTTCCACCTATGAACAAAAGGCTTGATTTGAGCAGCTATCCAACCAAACATAGTCTCTCCCCCATTTTCCACAATCTCCACCCAGCCCACTTGCCCACTTAAATTATCAGAGTGATCATCTTGCCGTCCCAGTTGACCTTCCCAGCAATCTGTGGTTCAAAACAGGAACAGCCATACCCTCTGACTCTCCCCCCTCTCTGGTCTTTGCAGAAATCTTTCTTGGCCGTGCCGACCACCCTACCATCTCCCGTCTTTATTTTCTGGTTTCTACCCCTAGACTTGGCTAGGTCATCCCCTATTCAGGAAATCTCACCTTGCTCCAATCCGTGTTTTTCATTTGCCTAAGACAAAAACTTCCTCCTGGGTAGCATTTCCCATTGCTCTCAGCTCTGTCTGTCCTGGTCCCAATTCTAATTCACATTCCTTCCACACTTTGATACATAATCCATTCAACAAAAGCACATGGTATCAAGAATCAAATTAATATTGACTGAAATAAATGTATTTCAATTACACCATTCTCCTCACCAATTTCTTACATGACATTGCAAAAGACATGCTACAGGTACTCATAACTCCCCTTCGAGCTATGATTTGGCCCCTGCCATTAGATATTTATATTAATTGGTCATTATTTATATTAATTTCTCTTTGAGTGTTTCTACATTTCATTCTTACTTCTATACCCACTCTCACTAAATAAGACAGAAACTTTGTGAGGTGAAGGACAAAGACCTTTTAGTTCTCGGTTGCCCTGTAAGAACAAGGGATACAATACTATGAGCCAAGTCTAGAACCCTATCTTTTGCCTCAGAATTCTCATCACATTTTGCACCATTTGCAATCACTTATTACGGTTTATTTCATATTAAATAGTAATAATGTATACTATCCTCAAAGGCAGGCATTGTGCCTTATTGAATTTTTTATTCTCCTTAAAGGTAATCACCTTTCTATGTATTTAAATTAAGTAAAAGTAAGCTGACGTTAAAGAATATTCACAGGTTCAATAACGTGAGAACAACATGAGAATATCAGTCCCTGAGATTAATATTTAAACTCACCAACAACTCATCCAAGACTCACACTCAGAGCTTGAAATATCTGCGGATCCCCCAGGAGAAGGAATCACAGACAGGAAGAGCGCCTGATTTTGATGCTTTTGGTTGCTAAGTTGTGTCTGACTCTTTGCGACCCCATGGATTGTTGCCCACTTGGCTCCTCTGTCCATGGGATTTTCCCAGGCGAGATTACTGGAGTGGGTTGCCATTTCCTTCTGCAAGGGGTCTTCCAAACCCAGGTCTCCTGCATTGCAGGTAGATTCTTTACCACTGAGCCGCCAGGGAAGCCCCTTGAAGGCCATGAGCAAATGTGCAAGCAGGAATTATTCATAGGACAGCACTCCTATATGCTTTAAGATCATACCCACTATCACCACATAATTGGAGACCAGGTATTTTATACCACTAGTCTTTCCTTTGATTTAAGGCCTTAAATTTTGTCAATCAAATAGACACACATCTGAATTATTTTCTGATGACACTGGAATGGGAATCCGTTTGTCAGTGCATCTAACCTGAAACAGTCCTTCAAGGAAAGGGGACACAAATGAATATATTTTGATTTAGGAGCTGGGAATGAGAATAAAGTGAGAAGAGTTCTGAAATGGAGAATCTTGACAGGATAACTGTTACATTAGGGCCAGAAATGTACGGAGCATGCATGCATATGTGTAAGTCACTTCGGTCTTGACTATTTTCGACTCTATGGACTGTAGCCTGTTAGGCTTTTCTGCCCATGGGATTCTCTAGGTAAGAATACTATACTGGATTGTCATGCCATCCTCCAGGGAATCTTCCCAACCCAGGGATCAGATCTGTGTCTCATATCTCCTCCATCGGCAAGTGCGTTCTTTACTGCGAGCACTACCTAGGAAGCCCAAGGTATAGAGTGTGTGTGTGCTAAGCTGTGCCCGACTCTTTATGACCCCATGGACTATAGCCTGCAGGTTCCTTTGTCCATGGGATTCTCCAGGCCAGAAGAGTGGAGTGGGTTGCCATTTCCTCCTCCAGGGGAATCTTCCTGGCCCAGGGATTGAACCTGCATCTCCTTAGACTCCTGGATTGCAGGTGGAGTCTTTACCACTAGCACCATCAAGGTATGGAGAGAAATTGTTTATTTTTGTAAAGGGCTTTTGTGTGATCTTAAGCATAATCATGTGGGGTTGCTCCCCAAACTTTTGCCAAAGCTAATTGATTCAAGGTGAACTGGGGTATCTCAAACACTCCCCAGAGTGCTTTTCTTTTTTTCTATTTTTCCTAGACTAAATGAAAAACAAAAAAATCTTAAAATCCTATGTCCATTTTTTTCAAGTTGTATGTTTCATGTATGACTTCAAAATAAGAATGCAGATGAAAAGAACCTCCACTGGTCATTTATGCAGAATTCTTGGGGAGATGACACACCTTCAAAAATGTGTAAACTATTAATCCAGAAGGAAAAGAAAGCCACAGAGGAAGAATGATTGGGAAGAAGGGGGGAAGGGAAGACAGAAGTTTAAGATATTGCATTTAGCTTTCCCTGTTTCTAATTGTTACACCAAATTCTATCTGTTCCAAATATGCACTTTTCTTTCAGGCTTTCTTTCTACTATACCATTCTGTTTCTTGCTCCCTCTATACCCAATTCACATGTATAACACACACACACACACACACACACACACACACACACACGAATTTAGTTTCCTTATTCTGTTTATTTCCAACAGCAGAAACAATAACCAGATGGCCAGAAGATACATGAGATTATAAACTCTTGTATGAATAGCCCCAAAATCAGGTGGACCCATGTGTTTACTGGAAGACACTGGTGTCTATGTCTCTGTCCTTAGGATCTGCCTTTAAGATTTCACATTTTGTGTTTGGGAACAGGCTCCATTAGAAACTTTGAGGAGAGAAAAGGACAATCTCAAAAAAAAAAAAACAAACAAACAAGCTACCGCCAGTTATCATTTGGAGGACCTTGAACATGTTTCTTAGACATCATTTTTCCTATTTTATTGACAAAGAAAAATGAAACTGCCTGACGGGATTATTGCAAAGGTTGATAACATGTGAAATCACCAAATAGGGTGACAGACACATAGTGAAGACTATAAATAGCTGTTTCCTCCCTCTTCTCCACCATTTATTTACTTGGCTGTAAATGAGTTCCAAGAGTCCCTTGCAGAAATGATAATAAACTTCGTGTCTTTAACCAAGTCAACAGGAATTTTCACTTTCGTTACATCAGGCATATGGAAGACTTGTAAAAAAACAGCAGTATAATGAGAAAGATGAATGGATTGTCACAGCTACCTCCTTGAAGAAGGCTTCTGGGCAGCAGAAGAAGCAGATTCCGTGGTCAGCAGTTCTGTCTTTCAGAAGAAAACAGACAAAGGAAGTCTCCAGAAATCTATCTTGGGTAGAGACACTCTCTTCAGAGTGTCAATATTTCTTGGATTCTTCCTCCTAGATCCTTAAAAGATCATAGAGGAAATGAAAAAGCATAGAAGTATTTTTTTCCAAATATATTTCAGTGTTCCTGTCAATATTCACTTGGGATCCACCATTGATTCAGAGATCGTCAGAGGACATGTGGTCCAGATTAATAGCCTAAATTAATTAATTAGCTTCACTGTTTCATTGCCTTCACTTCTCTTCCTCTGTCTTCCTTTCCCGCATCCCTCCCAATTGCTTTTCCTCTGTGTCTTTCCTTTCCCTTCTGGAGGAATAATTTACCCATCCTTGATGATTTGTCATTCCCCCAAGAATTTTGCATATATGAGCTGTGAGGTTCTGCTAATTTACGTTCCTATTTTGAAGTCATATATGAAACATACAGCTAGAGAAAAAAATTGGTATGGGATTTTACAATTATGTTCCTTTTATTCTAGGGAAAAAAAGTAAAAAAAAAAATATGGGGAGCATTTGAGATAACAATGAGAAACCACAGTGCACCCTGAATCAATTAGCCTTGGCTCAATTTTGGGAGCAATCACATGAGGTTGGTCAAGGAATTTACTGTTCCAAGTTCAAGAAGACTCACCACATACTGGGAGGGGAGGCAAAGTCAGTGGGTCAACAGTTATGATTTCTCCAGGATCACCATTTTGATCACCATTTTCTCCAAATCTATTTCTACTGCAATAAGATGGAGACAAGGAATAATTTACCAGCTGTACCCATCAATTAATTACAGCGACTAAAGGGTCCTCTGAAGCTCCAGAAAGGCATTAGATTTGTTTACATTTCAAGGAACACCTCCAATCTAGGTGAAGATGCTATTGGCCAGGCTAAGTTTTAATAAAAAGTAATTACATCCGTCATGCCCTTTCAAAATGGAGAATAAAATAATGAGAATGAAGAGGTGATTCAATACATGGAAATTGAAAAATATATTGAGAAGTCTCTTTCTTCCTTTTCCTCTGCATCCTTTCTCCATCAACTACTCATGTCTCCTCCTCCCAATGGGAAGGCCGCTGAGCAGAAGACAATCACCATGAAAGCAGCTAATCATGGGGGTTTTGCCAGTTAATCAGTATCTCTGTGGCTGACCATTGTTTACAGAGGGAAGGGGTCTGCAACATTCTTGATCTCAGATCCTGGAGGGCTGCAAGTCAGGGCCTTCGGCTCTCCAGCAAGCCCACTGCAGCCTCGATTTAATTAACTGCCTCTCCCTGCCCTGGTGTGACTTGCATGGCCGGGAAGGTGTTTCCCAAGGAAATCAGAATGGGGGGCAGAGCAGGAAAGAAGGGGAAAAAAAGGTGAGTTCAGGAGGGCAATGAGGCGGGGGTTAACAACACTGCTTAAGATCAAGGGCTGGAGTGCTGAGATGCTGCCAGACTTGAAAACTTTAATTTACTGTCACTGTTAGCCCCCTTTGAGGTTTATGGTGGTATTTATACACACAGCATCAATCACATGAAACAAGGAGGGGATTTATAGTTTGTTTTAAAGACTGCAAATGCAATGTAATGCAAATAGCTTGCCTCATGGGCATTTACGTTTAATGGGAAAATTACAGATGCAAAAGATTGGTAGAACAAATTTTAAATTGACTTTATTACATCTAGTGCTTTTCAGAGAATACTATTAAAAAAAAGAAAGATATGGTAATGGAGTTCTACACTGTAGCCTAACAACTTAAATTCCACTTAACTGACTTTTTTTTTCTTTTCTTTCTTTTCTTTCTCTTTTTTTCTTATATCTTCCTGCTTACATTACTCTTATAATAACTTTGGTTTGAAAATTCTCCAGGACCATAAACTGATTAGAAATTTCATTTGTCTTTATTTCATTTCAAATACTTTACTTTCTAAGCCCACCCAAATAACAGATCCATATAACACACCAATATATGATATCACTGTGGCATATGCATTTTTAACCTTTAACCATGACTCCTTTGTATATTAATATGTGAATGCCTTTAGTCAAGATTTAAAGTTTTAGGATAGATCAGTTCTCTTATCCTCATTTTCTCAAAACATATTTGTGTGCATGTGCACATGTGTGCACACAAGAGGTAAAATGGTTCTTTGACAACTGAACATTTTTGGTAAAGATGTTTTCCTGATTTATGAACACCAAAAGTTTTCACATGATGGTCATTGAGTTATTTGCATGGGATGACCTGGTGGGTCAGTTTCTACTTTGGCCAATGCCTGATCCCTTTGCCAGAGCTGACATTTAAATTGGTACCACTTGATCAAAGGAAAGGCAAGGGTTAAATAGGTAGGTGTCAGAGCTTTGCTGTTGCTATTGGATGAAGAAGCTCAATCTTCACCTGTGCAAAAGCAGTCTTCTTATCAGGTAATGAAAAACATTTCCATGGATAATATGTTGTTGTTGTTTAGTCGTTCAGTTGCTTCCAACTCTTTGACACTCCATGGACTGTAGCCCGCCAGGCTCCTCTGACCTTGGCATTTCCTGGGCAAGAATACTGGAGTAGGATGCCATTTCCTTCTCCAGGGGGTCTTCTCAACATAGGACTAGCCCTGGTTAGAAGTTGCATCTATACTATAGTCTAAAAAGTTGTTTGCTTTATGTTGATTTGTTCTTTATTCTGCTCTGTTTTACAAAGGGTTTGGGGTGGCTTCTAAACATGCATATGACTCGAAATAGAAGAATTTTGCAGATATATTCTATTTTTTAACTCTGTAACTTTGTCTCATGAAACCCTATTTTTTTAATATATTTTTCTCATATATATATATTCACAGAAAACTCTTTCAGTAAAAATACTGTTATGGAAAAAAAAAATACTGTTATGAATGCACACATGACTTGTAGAATTGTCCTGTTTTTGCAACCATTTGTTTACATTCTAAATAATGAGCAAATAAAGTTAGAAAGAAATACACCTTTTCAAGAAAGTCATAGTTTCTTGAGGGTGACAAGGAAGTTCCTGTAATGTTATATTTGTCCTCCAAATCCTTCTGCAGTAAGACTAATAGTTAAGGTTGGATTTTATTGTGCGTAACAGTGAAATTCCAACTAACAGCGGTAAATGTAAGAATTTGATCTCTCCTGTTTCAAGCAAATTAAGGTGGCTATAGTGGCCCTCTTCCACAAAGTTCTGAAGAACTCACATCCTTCCGAGTTTTTTGCTTTTTCATATGTGACTGCCACTCTGAAAGTCACTTCCTGTTTAAGATGGCGGCTCCGTTTTTATCCGTGACGTCTTCACTATAACAGAAGGGTGGAGGAAAGGACAAGGAAGGCCACAATGCTTCTCAGTCCCTGCTTTAAAGACATTTCTCAGAGGTTGCATACACTTCTAGTTTCACCTCACTGGCCAGAAGTTAGTTACATGGCCACACTTAGCTTCAAGGGAGGGAAAAAATGTGTTGTTATTTTTTCTGACAGCTGTAAATTCAGTTAAAACTCAGGGATTCTGTGCTAATGTAAAAGGTAGAGGGTGAATATCAAAAGATGAACAGCAGTATATAGCAATATATAATAGCAGTCTATACCAGAATCAACAAAATTGTTTTTACCCATTTTTTGATTCATACTAAGGGCTTCCCTTTGGCTTGGCTGGTAAGGAATCTGCGTGCAAGTGGGAGACCTGGGTTTGATCCCTGGGTTGGGAAGATTCCCCTGGAGAAGGGAAAGGCTACCCACTCCAGTATTCTGACCTGGAGAATTCCATAGCCTGTATAGTCCATGGGGTCGCAAAGAGTCGGACACAACTGAGCTACTTTCACCTTCACTTTTTATTCTTTACATTCACAGTTGGGTTATAATCTGTGTCTACTGAAGATGACCAGAAGAGGCAATTCAGTTGTATGAAGCTTTTGTCATCTTAACACCTTCCATGAAATCAGTATTTATGTTTTTAGCATTAATGATATATTATGTTTTGATTTTTAAAAATTATACAGGTCCAGGCTTGATTTCAAGATCTGTATCATTAGCTTTTTAGTTTACATCAAGTACAGTTGCTCAAAGTTGCTTCAAGGCAAAACAACATGCATGTATTTTTTCCTAATTCAGCAAACAGTTGGGTGGTTGGGGGACATATTTGACCAGTTATATCAACACCAAAATTGTCTAACTAGCTTCCAGTCTTCTACTCCTTTATGCAAAGTCATCTGGTATTTACAAAGACCCCACCATTTGCAAGACATTGAGCTTAATCAATTAATTCATTTAATCCTGGGGGTGGAGGAGTAGGTGGTGGAAAGATATGATTCACCACCCCTCTATTCACAGATGACACTCTGAGGATTACAGTGCTGTGCTTAGCTGCTCAGAGTAGTTAACGATATGCTAGTTACTATCAGAACCAACATCATTGGACTGAGAGAACCAGGCTGACTGAAGGAGAACAAATGAGGAACACCTCAAAATGAGTATTTGGACAGAAATGAAAGAAAAAAAGCCATGAAATTTATATTAACAGTGCAATGTAACTACACTCAAATGATTAAGGCGCCTTAAAAGGCAAGTTACCAATTAAGACTTAAACCTTTGATCTGTGAATTTGCTAGTAGCCTTGAATTATTAAAATAAAAGCTAAGAGACACAAATAACTTCATTAAATTGATCTCTCAATAGACAGCAATACACCTGTTAAAGATAAATTATGAAAGGGTAAAATGTCTTCCTACGAAACTGCTTCCTGTTTTTGTTTTGTTTTCCTTCATAAAATTAAAGAGATCTTTCCCCAAAAAAAGAGCATATAGTTTACAGTGAAAGATGCAGTTTTTTCCCTTCAAATTTTTTTCATCTATAGAAAGCATTAGAATTTTATCCAAACTGGACCTGAATAAAATTTTCTACAGTTCAGGGGACAAGGGTGGGGGATGAAGAAAATACACAAAATTTGTAAGATACACAAATATCTTACAGTTTTACAATATTTACAAAAGTCTGTGACCATATGAACACATTGTTCAGGCCTCTCCCAGGTCCTGGAAAGGGCCAGGCAAGTGAGGGCCCTGAATCACTCACTGGATGGCAGATCTAGATAATGAGATCCAGCTCTTGTCTCAGCTCTAGTTAATAAGCCATGCCCACTTGAGCATCAGTACAGTATCAGCATCTTCCTGCAAGCACCCTGTTTTCCAAAAAGTGCAAACTTATCCACCAGAGTCAGATTTCATTTTCTACACTTTAGTAGATGCCTCTAAATGTTATTTTCAAGAGAAATAAGAACAAAGTAACATGGATGGGTGTTCAAACATGAGTTTGCATCAAGTGAGGGGATATGAGATTTCCCTCTATTATTCTAAGTACTTCAGGAAATTCTAATTTTCCAATAAGCACATCTTATTTGTTCTAATTTTAAAGTAGTTATAGGGGAAGTCTTCATCCCAAGAAAAATGACTGTGATGCATTTTTATAATTTATTGACGTATAATTGATTTACAATGTTATTTTCTGCCATACAGCAAAGTGACTCAGTTATATACATATACATATACACATACACATATACATATACATATATACATACACATATATGTGTGTGTGTGTGCTCACTCAGTTGTGTCCGATTCTTTGGGGCTCTAAGGACTGTAGCCCACCAGGCTCCTCTGCCCATAAAAATCAGGAATATTGGAGTGGAGTGCCATTTCCTGCTCCAGGGAATCTTCCCAACCCAGGAATCAAACCCACATCTTTTGCATCTCCTGCATTGGCAGGTGGGCTCTTTACTACTAGCGCTACCTGGGATGGACTATATATGCCATATATATATATATATAATGCCCTTATATATATAATGCCCTTATGTANTATATATGCCATATATATATATATATATATATATATAATGCCCTTATATATATAATGCCCTTATGTATAATGGGCATCCCAGGTGGTGATATATGTATGTGTGTGTATATATATATATACACACATTCTTTCTTATATACTTTTCCATTATGGTTTATTGGAAGATATTGAATATAGTTCCCTGTGCTACACATTAGGACCTTGTTGTTTATCCATTCTATATATATATATATATATACACATATGATAGTTTACATTTGCATATTATGCACATATATAATAGTTTACATTTGCTAATCCATAACTCCCAATCCATTTTACCCATATGATGCTTTTTTTATAGACTAAATATCTACCAAGTTGCCCTCTCTTTTCCCATGTAATTAGCTATGGAAGTAGTTTGGCTTCTAAAGCAGGAGGGTGAAGCATCATGTAACTGTTAAACACTCTCTACTCTAAACTTTCTGCCATATCAGGATCATCTAGGACTTCGGGAAAATGTCTTCAGAAAAGCCAGCTGCTACCACTCCAATGCCATCATGATGTCTTAGAGAGAGATTCTAAAAGTAACACCACAGAAAATCATAAGCACCACCTAAGACTTTGTTAGGAATGTACGTTCTTGGGTCCACCCTTATATCTCCTGAATCAGAAACTCTAGGAGGGAAAACCAGTAATCTATGTGATGCTGATCTACATTCAAGTTTGAGAACTATTTTCTAAGAGGAAATCTAGGCTAAATACTGGCATTTGATATGTCTGCCATGCTCTGCTCAGTCACTTCAGTCATGCCCAACTCTTTGCAACCCCATGGACTGTAACCCACCAGGCTCTTCTGTCCATGGGATTTTCCCAGCAAAAATACTGGAGTGGGTTGCCACACCTTCCTCCAGGGAATGTTCCTAACCCAGGAATCGAATCTGCATCTCCTGTGTCTCCTGCATTGCAGGCAGATTCTTTACCTCTAAGCCACTGGGAAGCCCACTTGATAGGTTTAGTTCACCCCTGTTCAATAATGGCTCTAGTTAATGGACTGTTTTCTGTGATTAATTTCTCCAGACTTTTCAATTTGGAAATTTTATGTAAAATCAGTGAGAACTACAGATTTAAAAAAAAAATCTGTGGGTATGTTTATATTTCCTTTGCTTTTTTAATTTTCATTTTTAAGTGCAAAAAGGGAAAGGAAATTAATCCCCATATGTCACAATTCATTACAAAAGAAGCCTTGGAAAGATACACAGAAAGTCAGTTAACTGATGACAGAAAGTAGGCCCATGACCATGGTACCCAGATGATGGGGTTTTAGGAGTAGCAACATTTTTAAAGAAATATTTTCTTTTCCTTTTTCTTTTCTTTCTTTCTTTGTTTTTTGTTTATTTATTTCTGTGTAAGGACATTCCATTTTTTAAAAGTCTGTTTAATCTTATCATATTTTTTCTAAAGTATTTTAGTACCAAAAAAAATGTATTTATTTCCAGTAAAAGAGAATGGTTTTTCCCAAGGATATATTGTTGGCAAGCTTATACGAACATTTTAACCACAAATTATAAAACATTACTTAGTGCAGGGTCTTTGCTCGAAAAAAGGCCTTGGACAATTAAAGTTATATATCG